CTAGAGTAAAACAGAGTAAGTTTGAAAAAATATGTTTTTAGTGATTGTATTGGTTGTTTGAGGCATGTTATGTATGTTCATCTTGTGCATAAAGAACAGATCTTTCGATCCATGTGCGACATGTGTGTGAAAGTGACGATTTGTTTCTAAAATATCAGTTTGAAGTGCGCTCCGGGCGCGGGTCGCATATTTCCCGCATATTATAGAGGGCCGGAGTTCTGACGTTAATCGACGACTGACCGATATGAAAAAAGTCGATAAAACGTCAGAATAATTCGGACTAGGACAAAGGGTACGTAGTTCAGTAAACATGATAGAAATTTCTTTCACCCCTTTCTTACCCTGGAAAGCTCTATATTACACACACGGAAATGAGAGAATGTAAGACTCTTTCATGCCCAGGGGTGTAGGATAGGGAAATTCCGCCCGAGGGGTTTTCAAAGTTGGTAAAACCTGGGTAAATCGAGTGTAGTTCTGGAGCCCTTACTTTTGTACGATGATCAGTAACTATGGTAAAACCTACAGGGAACGGAAACCCAGGGTAGAACTTAAGTAGGTCTGAAACATACAGACATGTTAAGAAAGGGATATAGACCTATCTAAAAAGATGTTTAAAGAAAACAATACTCTTTTTCTTGCTGTGATGCAAAGGCACATGTTTATGTAGTCAAAGCTGAGGCGAGGACGTGAAACCCTAGACATATTAAAACAAAACCGAATTCTCGGTCTATGTTAAGTACATAGTGATAGCTATCGACGATGTACTGATAACCACCCACTTCATGAACACCTTGACCTCAGTTCAGAGGGACGCCTCGGTATTGACATAGACAGATAAGGTATATTTCATCATGTTTTGATACTGACGAAATACACCACAGTATAACGTAAAACGCCTTTCATGCCAGTAAAATCATGAAACCAATATTTGTGACGCGTGGTTGCGTCATCATTGCGTTTTTAAATGTGGATGCAACACGCGAATATCATTTGTTTCCAAAAATCTTGGAGCAAAAGTGACTGTTTATAAACATAGGTATTTGTTGTTTTGAGGTTCTCCTTTCAGCCATTGTTTGGTGTTTTGGATCGGGACCAATGTAAAAGGCTTCTTATTCTTGTTTGCTTGATTTGTGTTATATGGGTCCCACTTCATAGCTACAATTATTTTTGCTAATTGGTTTGTTAAAATTTAGTATCCATAACCTTGCTGTTTCTCCCTTCCCACTCTCTCTTTCGGTTATGGCTCAGTAGGCACCTTTAGTTTTCACGTTTGGGTTGATTGGATTAGGATTCATAATATTGCCTGTTTCTCCTTAACCATTCTTTGTTTCGGTGGTGGTTCCTTGGGCACCTTTAGTTTTCCCGTTGTCAGTGTTACATGACCAGCTGATATGCTGTGCTACTGTTTCGAGGATATGAGACTTTAGTGAGATTTATCTTTGTTCGACGGCTTGAAGTCCAGATAATTTGCTCTCGTCTTTTGTTGATTGGATGATTGGCGATCGATAGTTTTACCATCGAAATCGGTTGTACCTTCTCTAACATGTCGATTAAATCGTTGGTTGGGGATCAGCTAGATTGTTACCAATTTATAACTCTATCCGATTTGAAATAAGGATCGCCTATTATATACTAGTCTCATTATTTATTTTTACAGAAAATGACACGATTACCCTTCCAAACTCTCATACATCTTCCTACATCCACAACCATAGTAACCACCCATAGAAAATCATCTCTTTATAACAAAGGCTTCAGTGAAAGAATAACACAACGATGCAGGACGACGACAAAGTTGATGAAACTTCAAGCGTTGTTGATATAGCAGGTGATATGGGAGATGAAAAAGGAAAGAAGGAGAAGGATGGGAAGCAGGAAGAAGAGGTGCCAGATCACCCTGTGGACGAAGGATGGGCATGGGTTATCTTAGGCGGTACGTCAACAAGTTATGTTCTTTATAAGAATTGAAAACGAATTTATTTTTCATCATTCATTGTTTCTTTTTTTGTCATTTATGTGTAAAAGCAACTTAGCTTTATTGATATAGCCTACGTTTATTGATATAACCTACTTTTCTTGATATAAGCTAATTTTAATTATATAACCTATCTTTTCTGATAGATTTAACTTTATCGACATAATTTTCCTTTATTGACATAACCTACTATTATATTAAACTTCGATTGATGAATCGACTTTTATTGATATAACCTGTATTAATGTATATTTTCTGTCTTACATGGACAAGTGTCCAGTTGTTTACTATCTTTATATATTTAATTATGATTATTTGAAGATATGTATATAACTAGCATAATTATGAATACATGTTATGCATACTAAGTCAAGTCAACAAGTGGAAATGACTGTTACTCATTTCAGGTAATCTGATTATAACTTATGCCCCTCATCTGACTTCTCATTTTAAATGTAATCTTCCTAACTTTCAAATCGTTATTGTGTTTTTGTAGCTTGCTGGTTTATCATCTTTGTCGTGATCGGTATTTCCAAATCATACGGCATCTTCTTCATAGAGTTCCTGCGGACCTTCAAATCGTCTGTGTCAGCAACTACACTCATCACGTCACTACAAACCATCGCTTACTGCAGTGCATGTAAGTTTGCATACGACACTTCAAACCATCGCTTACTGTGGAGCATGTAAGTCTGCACACGACACTACAAACTATCGCTTATTGCAGGGCATTTAAGTCTGCACACGACATTACAAACCATTGCTTACCGCGGAGTATGTAAGTCTGCACACGACATTACAAACCATTGCCTACCGCGGAGTATGTAAGTCTGCACACGACACTACAAAACTAATTCTTACTGCAAACCATGTAAGTCTGCACACGACACTTCAAATTAACGCTTACTGCAGGGCATGTAAGTCTGCATACGACATTACAAACCATTGCTTACTGCGGAGCATGTAAGTCTACACACGACACTACAAACTATTGCTTATTGCGGAATATGTTAGTCTTCACATGACACTACAAAATAACGCTTACTGCACAGCATGTAAGTCTGCAAAAGACACTACAAGTTATTACCAAGACAGTTTCGCTTCCAAACTGCTAGCTTAGTCTCTGGTGGCGTTAGGTACATCTTGAGCTACTTCCCCTTGTTCACAAGTAGTCGTTAACCTGAATGATTTGGTAAGCCCCCTGGTCCCTGTTTATAACGTACCCTGTTAAGTGTATCCTGATATGGATGACTTGTTACTCGTTGGTTGTTCTCTCTGTCCAACGTCTTTGCCTGTTTCCAGGCTGCCATATGATTCTCTTTATGAACCGTTATGGCACTCCTTCAGATGTTCATTTAATCTTGTTCTGAACTGTCTTCCTGTATCCCCTATGGGGAAAAATTGCAATTCTCACGGCCAATCCTGAACATCCGATAACATGTGTCACTGATGGAATAAGGTTTTTGAATGCACAAGAATGTTCCTGATGGTCTGGAGTGGTCTCATGCTGGTCGACATCCTGTTCTTTCTAAATATCCTTTGAATGGACCCTGATATTTCTTTCACGTATGTTATCATTAAATTGTCCCTGGTCTATTCCTCTGTTATTTCGTTCTTTTCAGCTTCACATCTTTTTTGTTTTTGATACTTCACTGTCTTGATACTCCATTTTGGATATCCAAATTTATTGAAAAGTGATATTTCCCGACGTGATATGCTGCCCCTACAAGATCTTATCCTCAAGGGGACTTGTCGACTCTGCTAGCTTCACCACGACATCTTGATCACGATTGCAATGAACAGGGGGAAATAACTCCCAATATACTTCTTTTTCCAATAGTCTGCATACCATTTCTGGTGTATTGTTGTAATTGAACTAACCAAGATGACAGCATGGCAGCAAAACTATCTGGGTTAGAACTTGGTTTAGACATAGCAGTAATCAAATCAATCGCAGACCATTTCGAAGATGGATACACTCTATGATCTTTTGATGGTGCTGCAGGCACTGCCTCATTTCAGATCGGCCCTATGCACAAAATTAGATGCTACTATATGTATACGAGAGCATCATAGAGAGAGTGATGTGCTATTTAGTTGCTGGGGTGGCATGCCCATGCCAATCTTTCCGAAGAGTACGCGGCGTAAATTCTTTATATCGTACAAAGGTCAGGGAAATCTTATGATACCTCATAGTCCCCATTTACCTAGAAACACAGTAGAATAATTTAATGATCATAAAACTAGACGTTGTCTTTTGTCATTCATAATTATGCATATGACAAATTGTTCGGAGGAAACTTAACTAAGGAATCTAGTGCACTTTGTAGTGTAAGGAAGTGCACTCCTGTTCACTTCAGGGTTAACTCCAGCGCATATAGATGTGAGCCCCAGTTCACTTCAGTGTTAACTCCAGAGCACAAGCTATTGAACTGGAGTTTAACTTTTCTTGTTAACACAAATGCACTAGGCTACCAAGTGAAGTTTGCTCCCAGCTGTAAACAATGATTACACCATTTCGTTTTCTTCATCCATCATATCTCTGTGATTTTGTTGGGTAATATCTTGTTTATGTTTGTTTCCACAGCCGTGCCGATCCTTTCTCTGTGATTTTGTTGAGTAGTATCTTTTGTTTCCACAGCCGTGCCGATCCTTTCCATTTACATCAAGCGATACAACACTCGCAACCTTGCAATATTGGGGACGTTTGGATGTGCGTTGAGTTACGGCTTGAGCAGCCTAGCGGACAGCATCAGCTTTCTCTACTTCTCACAAAGCCTACTATTTGGTACGTACTAGCTGCCTTGAATTTACCCAATTACGACAAGGGCAGTCTAACAGGCAGTGTTGCCTTTCATTACTTTTCGCTAAGCCTAAACTGTAAGCAATTAATTATGATATGTTTACTGTTAAGAAAGAGATTAAGATAATCGAAAAGATCGAAAAGATCAAGAGTAAATCAGATAAAATGTTTCTTATATCATAATCCATCTTTAAGAACTTTGTTAGCGTTTCCTGTTGAACTGAATGCCATGAAATAGTATATGTTTACTTTTAACAAAAAGCTTAAGACTATCGAAAATATTGTAGATAACAATTTGATATTTTAATCGAACAATGGCGTTTGTCATTAACTTTTAATATTTTGGAAAACAACGAAGAGATTAAGCATTCCGTAAAATACTGATTATTAAATTTAGCCATGGTATTGACGTCATGGCAGCCATTACAGGTTTTTATATATCAGCGTTATAATATGCATTATATAATTTAATGTATTAATTGTAATCTCGGATTTTATTTGACGTCAAAATACCAGTAACGAAATTCTTGACACCCTGTCTGACAAATCAGAACACTATCGAGTAACTGCCCACATTTTTATAGGAATGAGGGACGATGTTAACTATTGTGTTGATTTTATGATGATCTGTTTAATTATTTGTCTCTTTCAAGGCGCCATGAGTGCATGCGTCGTTAATCCAAATCTCGTAATTCTGGGGCAATATTTCAAGAAAAGAAGGGGCTTTGCGATGGGGATTGCTCTGAGTGGGAATGCTTTGGGTGGATTCCTGCTGCCCTACCTGTTTCGGTACTTATTTGATGAGTACGGTCTTAGAGGGGCGTTACTTCTGACGGCCGGATTGTCTCTTCACTGCGTGGCAGCAGCCTGTCTACTCAGACCAATTAACTTCTACAGCAAAAGGAAGACTTGCAATCCAAAGAAAGATTTAGCAAGTGAAAAAAACTGTCCGGAACAGAAGGAAAAGCTTCTCGGTGACAAAAGGTTTCACAAATTTGAAATGGATGACAGGGCGAACAAATCAACGTCACACCCGGTCTTACCAACGGAAGATACTACTACAACCAAAGCCAAGTACCGTATCCGGAGTATCTCTTTTAGTCCCGGTCACGTGCAGGCGGTTTCAAAACCCGCGGAGTCGCCGTCCGTCCTCTCATTGTCAAGTTTTACGCGGTATTTTAGCACCGGTGATATTGTTGCACTTTCCCTGCAAGATATCGACGTGATGCGGATGAATTCTGAACATGAAGAACCAAAAGACGAAAATAAGAAACCAGTTCAATGTTTTTCGAAAATATGCCAATCCTTAACCGATCGCGAGATTTTCAACTGCAACATTTTTCGCAATAAGTATTTCTTAGCTTTCCTTCCTGCCTATTCCTTAGGTACCTTGGCACCTGATTTCACTCATATATTCTTGCCAGCCTACGCACGCGACATCGGGATCAGTGATCAGAACGTGGCCACCATAGCTTCGATCATCAGCCTGTCCGTCTTCTGCGGTAGGATTGTTGTTGGGTTTCTGGCCGACCACCCCAGGATACGAAAGCCCTGTTTGGTTGTGGCTTCACAAACTCTCATAGGAATTATGATGATAATTTCTTCGTTCTTCAACAACTTTTACCTTCTGATCGCGTTTGCAATTATATACGGCTTGGTTGGAGGTACTCTGTTTACCCTCTTCTCACCGATCTTGATAGAGATGATTGGTATAAAAGACTTTCCCAACGGAATGCTTGTCATTCTAGTTCTAAAAGGCATTTGGATTGGCGGCAACGCATCATTCCTGGGTAAGTCTTGGGTATATTTTAGTGGTGGTGATTGATAGAACCCTTCTCCACTTTGAGGGTTAGACCGTGAAGCATCCCCGTACCACTGCCAAAAATAAAATAACGCAATGGAAAATGATTTTTTTTTTACGGCTAGACTTTAGCTTTGATAAATCATTTCTGGAAAGAAAACCATACCTTGCGGGGCTATTAAAGACAAATATTAATGATTAAATTAACAACGTTCTGAGTGTGAAATTCAAGCATGGCTAGAGTGGGGTTCAAACTCCGTGCTTCAGATTGTTATACTCCCGAAATAACTGACTGTGTTCAGGCCAAACATTGCATCACATTATCTTAACCGTATTAAGGGGAGGTAACTATCT